CCCTCCCACTGTTGACCCCCCCCAAGCACCAAGATGACAGAGCATCGCTTGCGGCGCACCTTCGCTAGGAACCACCTAGGTAGGTGGTTCAAACTTGATGCGGTGTTTCGCGCGGAAGGGCCAGTTCAGGGACGGAAGCACTATGCTTCCCAGATGTTGTGGTGGGATCGCGCCCGTTTGCTGCATCCCCGAACCGTCCTTCTACCGGCCCAAATCCGTACGTGTGACCGGGGCCAAAGCTGACTAAATTAGTTAGGGTAAAGGATGGACGAGCTAATCTGAATGTTGGAATAACTTTTTGTATGGTTTTTGGAGGGAAAAGTTACATCTGTGTGTTGATGTATGTAACTGTGCAATATTTCTATAACACTGATACATTTAGAATTATAGCAATTAGTTTATAATTGTATAGGAAATTTGGAACAATGATATAGCTGGGGACATTTAGGAACACAGTAAACACTTTATTGTTACTACTAGGAAAAAGGCCCGTTGTGGAAATAAATACAACGGCCTCTAGAAAGAGGCTCTGGGCGGGTGCCCCGGTTTTGGACACTCAGTGTCAATTTGCTGTGGTGACCTCAGCAGGGTATAATGACACTGAGTCCACCATTTTCTCCAGAGGAACTGATCTCTGCTACCTAAAGAACAGTTGTAATTTTGAGTGATCTCCAGTTGGAGGCAGGACTCAGGCAAAGCAGCCAGTGGATAGGGAGACCCTCTGAATGACAGATCAGAGAGCGAACTGATTTTGGAGCATGTGGAATGTTCTAGAGAAGTGCCACCACCATTCAGCTTTTATTTATAAGGGAGATTATTATAGCGAGACCTTTTATAAGCTGTTTTTTTCCCTTTGAACTTTTTAAAAAAGCTTGCACTCACTGTTTGGTGATATTTTGAGTGACTCTGATCAAAAGGCACAACTCCACTGCTGCCTTTGGGACAGTAGCTACTCTTCCTCATTCCACCAGGCATCTGCCCACTCTAGGCAAACGCCCCCCAACAACACCACAAAACCTTGCCATCTTCCTAGAGAGGCCCAAACTCATGCATAACTCATTCTAGACGTTAGTCATTACCTGTTGCCCCAGCAGTACAGAACAAAAGGCAATTTGCGTCACTACGGGTGGAAGCTAGAAAGGGCTGGGACTCCCAATCACTTGCTTAATTGAGAGCACAGCAGTAAGGGGAAAAGATTAGTCTTTTCAAATGTCCTCTGGGAAAGCAGCTCTCTGTGTAAGGTACTGATAACAACAGAGGGCCCAGCCCTGAAGGTCATTTAGAACCTATATTAATTTGGAGTGGATGACGTGTTAAATGTCAGATTAGGACCGGGGAGATCAGGGTTTGAGTCCCCACCTGAGACTAGCTACTCTTCCTCATCCTAACTTACCTTAGAAGGTTGTTGTACAGAAATGCTGCAAGAGACATGGATGTACACTCCTCTGAACTGCTTGGAGGAATGGTAACATGAAAATAGGATCTCCGAATACTGAACAAGAGGACCTCTGAGCATATGCAAGCACTAACTCTTTGGTCACTTAGGGAGTCATCCCTGCCCACTAGAAGTCACAGAAGGGGGAGGAATCCCTAGCTTGCACATTATATATCACGGGCTGTCAAATAATGGTTAAGAACTTGAGACATTAATTGGAACAGAGACATGCATGCTATTTACAAAAAGTCTCTCACTTTAAAGTTTTAATGACAATGTTGCACAAAGTATAAGATGTTCATTT